TTAAATAAAGTATGATGAAATAGCATAGAAAGATAGAGGGATTTTTTCTCTATCGTTTCACACGAAAAGAAACTCTCATTCAGTTTACTAGAAGACATGAAAACGTTACCCTCACTATTTCTGGAATGACCTAAGTACTTTTCTCAATAAATAGTGAAGTATAAACTCTTCCTTTCATATACATATTATTATAGAAAATACTCTAGATAGATTTATTTCATTCTTGAAGCATATTCTGATATCAACAACATATTACTTTTTACAGTCATACTTAAACAAGGAGTTTTTTTCTACAGGAATAAATGCATGTTCTAGAAGGCACTACAGAGTATCATCCAGTACTTACAGTTATTGATTGAACTGGTTGTTAAGTTAACGCAAGTTTTTTTGCTTTAATACAATCAAAAACAATTATTCTGTAGTGTATAATTATGATTGTTTGAGTATCTGTATCACTGATCATACGAAATATGCATCATATTAAAACCTATAGTAAGAGTTTTTGCATACTTCCTTTCATTTGCTGTTTTGTATTAGGCCTGAAGCTAGTGGACGTTAGAATCTATTTGGTTTTTCAAGACCATATGAACCGTTCATCTCGAAGATTTATTGAAACTTTCAAACATCAAAACTTGTGTTTTTTTTAAACTAAACTCAAAGCAACTTGAAGAGTTATTCATGTAATTCTCTATGCTTTGTCCTCATCGTTGTTTATTAAGAAAATCTTTAACATGAATTTCAGTGAATTGATTGAGGAGAGTAAAAATTGAAGTAACAATAGCTTTTGTACGAATGGACTAGAAAAAGTTATTGAATAGTATTTAGGTATGATAAAAAATCGTATTTGTCGAAAGGAAACAAGCCACCCGATAATATATATATGGGGGTGACCAACTTGACTGATACCCCGTTTTGATACAGCTCTATTGTAAGGATAAAACCTACTATTGTCCGGACCATATAAGAGAGGATCCTACTTAACCCTAGATTGGCCTGAACAACACCATGTTTTATTCTTACAATAGTAGACAAAAGCTACCAGCTCACACGATAGGGGCTAGTAGTTATTCTCTACTATTGTAAGGATAAAACATGGTGTTGTTCAGGCCAATCTAGGATTATGTAGGATCCTCGCTTATATAGCCCGGACAATAGTAGGTTTTGTCCTTACAACAGAGCTTTATCAAAACGGGGTATCAGTCAAGTTGGTCACCCCCATATATATAAGAAATGCAGTAGAAACTTGAGTGTAACAAATGCCTTTTTCATTTTTTTAATTAGAAATAAAAAACAATATATTTCTGGTAAAGTTCATAAATTTTCGGCTTTTAGTTGAAAGTCATCATCAGATGAACTACTAAATCAAATTCCAACTGAAACGAGATGACTTGTACAACTATTCATATATTTATATATTTATATATGCGTTTAAAATTAAATGATATCACTCAATTTATTATGATTTGTTTTATTTATTAATGGACATTACAGTTATTATGAGACTTACACCCCTGGAAAAAAAAGTTTCAGTCTGTATTTCTAATATATTGTCACTATAAAAAGGTTTTTTTTAAAACCAATTACATATTCTGAAAGCCCGTGGAATTTTCTATCACCCTGTATAATTAGGCTTTAGTTTGTATCTGGGCATTACTAAAATAAATTAAATGAAATAAAGGCACCATCATGTTTAGATTCCCATGAACTTGATTTTATCACTGTCGTCAAAATTAGGTTTTTAACTTTTTAATCACTATAGAGTCATCGTTTGAAAAAAGTAATTATATATTCTGATAGAGCTTAAAATTCTCTATCATTCTGTATATTTACTTATTTCCTTATATTCATTTATGGAAAGGAAAATTTGAATACAGTGAACACACCTTCAATCGACAATTACCAAAAATCTGCATATTCATTGTTTCTATAGTTCTTTTTTTTAATTTACTATTCCTATCTAAAAAATTTCTTTGAAAAAGTAATTATACATTTTGATAGAGCTTTAAATTCTCTATCATACTATATATTTCTTAACTATTTTCCAATTATCTGCTGGAGAATAATTTGAATATTATGTCGACATGCTCCTTGACAAGTTTTAAAAAGAAGTTGGTTTTATTATTATTTCTCTGATTTTTTGTTTCAAAAGTACGCGATGGTAGAGAATTTCAAGGTCTATCAGAATATATAATTACTTTTCTCAAACGATGACTCTATAGTGATTAAAATGTTAAAAAACTAATTTTGACGACAGTGACAAAATAAAGTTCATGAGAATCGAAACATGAGGGTACCTTCATTGCATTTAATTTATTTTGGTAATGCCCAAATACAAACTAAAGCCTAATTATACAGGGTGATAGAAAATTCCACGGGCTTTCAGAATATGTAATTGGTTTTAAAAAGATATGTTTTTATAGTGACAATATATTAGAAATACGGACTGAAACTTTTTTTTTCCAGGGGTATATATTATATAGTAACATCTGATAAAACTTAAACTGGATATGGTATAGAAGTTTGTTTTGGTGTTAAAGGAAATGATTACATTTGTATTTTGTTAAAAGGGTACAGATAAATAAATAATTGTACAAGTTATCTCGGTTTTGTTGGAATTTGATTTAGTAGTTCATCTAATCATGATATTCAAATAAAGTTGAAAATTAATGATTTTCTAGAAGAAATGTATTTTTTTGCATGTCTAATAAAAAAATGAAAAATTCACTACTTGTTACGCTCAGTTATTTATTGCATTTCTTTTGTTTACATATTTGTTTAAAATTAAATAATATTGCTCAATTTATTACAATTTATTTGGTTTATCATCTAATAATATATATTTTAAGAAATTGTCAGATAAAAAAATAAAAGAAACTCAGACTAGATGCGTGAAGTGTGAAATATTATACTAAAATAACAATATACATAAAAAAAGATTGAAAATTTTCATGAGATAATACTTAAGAGAGCATAATGAGAGTAATGATGAAAAGCTATGAAAAGTTTTGAAACATTATAGAGAGTGTCGACAGTTTGTTAAGAAAAATGCAATACATCTTCGTATTCACAATGATTGTTTTCTTGCGAAGATAGATTGACTATCCAACAAACGCATTACCGCTCAATATTTGATATTATTTGAAGTGAATGCAAATAAACAAAAATAGAACAAAGAACCAACTTAATATAATACAATATGATTAGTGGCAAGGTTACTAATGTGAAGTATTTATACTTTGAGTTCAGTCAATATATCACGTTATCTATTTGAAAGAGTTTCCATCTGGGTGACCGATGCCATCAATATCTTCAAAGATTGAGAAAATCTAAAGATGTCTTTAACACCATGTATTTAATTATGAGTCAATCAGTACACCAGAGAAGAACAGTAAGAACGGTACAGAGAGACTAGAAATTATGAAGTATTGAGTTGTCGAATTAGATTTCAGGCTACTTTATATTTAACAAGTGATTCTTTCGAAATCATTACAAGTTCTTCGTGCTTGACATTTGTTCACAAGAATCAATGAAAATTAGAAAACTTCATTACTTCCTTTGCCATTCGTTTTATTAAGTCTTTGCGAATAGAAAAAAAGTTTCATTAATTGTTTCATGTTTATTTTCCATCACTGAATGTCCTGTATCAGAAAAAACGGATTCATCTACTGTAAAATATTGATTAAAGTCAATTTGGCTGACTTCGTACCTGAAAATTAAATATTCTGATAAAAAGTATCTGTCTTTTCTGTTGGTCAAAAATATTTGTACGGTCTAAATAAATAGTTATCAAACATAATCTGTTAAATCTCAATAATTGAACACTATTATTTAACCTTTTTTGAAATATATTCAATGATAAAATGCTCGTTAGAAAGACATTGCAAAAGATTATTAAAGCAAAAAGTACGACTGGAAAAGATTTATAAGGCGATATTCATACTTTTTTTAAGCTCTTTCAGAACGGATTTATGCTACAATTAAAAAATAATCTTTCGATCATTTTATTGTATGCACGTCAGTGTGATGATGGGAAAACGTCTTTCTCATGTTTAGAAAAAATGCTACATTTCACTACAAGCCTTTTTAAATCTAATTTGAGTTTCTTTTTTTAATATGCTGCACTCTAAACAAATTTTGTTTAATCTTGAGATTTATATCAATATCTAATAAATAAATAACTCAATATGTAGTGTAATAGTAAATAATAGATGTTTTAGGGTGGCTGTGGGTAGGTTTGAGGAATAAGAATACCCACACCTACACCCGCACCCTACCAAAAGAAGATTAGATTGAGATAACTCCTATTCATTTTCTTTTCAAAAAAGGAGTCTTCTTCATTGTAAAATAGCATTGATATATTAGTAGACCTGTCTGTAGAGATAACATCTTGTAGAATTATTTATGAACCTTTGGAGCCTTTCCAGATGAAAAAGTTCGTACGAGACCTAAACATGCAATTGGCTTGGACGCAAATTCAGCTCAATCTCTTGTTTTTCAATTAGGTTTTTTCTGCTTCAATTTTAAGTGAACAGGTTTCGTTGCTGAGAATATTCAACCTATTGGAGGATAAGCAATTGCTTCTCAACCAAAAGCTAGATAACACAATGCATGTGCCACCATCCGAAAAGGCTAAAATCAATGAAGAAGCAACCAAGTCTCATTGAAATGTATTTTTGGCGAGCTCGAACGAGAAGATTTTTACTGAACGATGACAAATCTAAGTCTTTGTATACTTCTGGGAACATCATAAGACTACTGGTTAGCAAATGCATTGGAGTTTCTTGCGACAGATCAACGGTTCTTAATTCTATCGACCATCTTGGAAGACTGTTAATACTTTTTTATGTTATGTACTTTCTTTCGTCCACATGGAGCCATACATGTTAATGTTACATGGAATATATAGAGTTGGGCAAAGTGTTGATAAAGTAACATAAATGACCTATCATTAGTTAAATACAAAACCTTTATCTGGAAATGATATTTATCTTTTATCTACCAACTAATTGCCGATATCGGTCATTATTTACCACTTACCACTTACTAGGAATAGTAAGTGCAATATGACACTCATACTCGTAAAACCTCTCTGACAATATATTTTGTACGCATTTGAAAATTCTTTCAGATATGACTCACATAAACAAAATATTACTCATCTCAGGATTTTTTTTAATTATATTTATATTATACCAGAAAAATCAAAATCGATACTTTCAATATTTTCTTAAACCTGAAATAATTGTCAATCTAACATCATTAATGGTACCATTAACACACATGGAACGAAATTCAACATATTACTGTTCGGAGTTTACTCTTCAAATTAGATATGAATTAGAATTTCAACAACTTGAACATTATGATTTAAGTCAATCATATGAACAACCATTAATGAGTAAGCGTTTGCAGAGACAAGAAGAGTCAGCATTACCACAACTACCATATTTCTATTCTTTGTGGAAAACATCATCGATTCTTCCACGTTTAATGACACCATGCGAACATCAAGTATATGTTCACTTAATGAAAACATTTGATGAAATATGTCGAAAAAACGATATAGAATATATGATTACTTATGGTACTTTATTAGGATCATACAGAAACCACGGTAAGATCTTTCATGATTTTCAAACTCTATTTATAATAGTTTTCGAAGTATATACTACTTTTTTTTAAGACAATTTTAATGGAGAGACTAGCTAGCTAATTTTTTTCATCTGAAAGTTGTTTTGATCCTTATCATGATGATAAAATCTATTTCACAAGCTTATGTATATTTTAAATATTTCAATAATTATATATATCCTACCGTCTTTTACACGGTAGAATGTTCATCGTTTAACTTGAGTCAAAATTCAGTAAGTTCAAAATAAATTGGAATACTAAGGCACCTAATTTGAACACTCTTCTTCTAGAGGAGTTTACTCATATATGGGGGTCATAGATTTCTATAATGATACTATTTACAAAACTGCAAATATATTCGTCGGTTGTAGTTGACTTCAACTACTTGCAGTACATGTTCTAGTTTCTTTATTGACTTTTTGAGTTTAACTTTAATATTGTAACTAATTTAACAATTAATCTTGTTTTAATCATAATTCATGGAACTGTACAGAAAAGGTATAAAATCTATTACATACTATTGATTGTTTTTTATGATTAATTAATTTCGATCGGTATTATGCATACCAAGAACAATTCTAAAATGGATCAAACTAATAAATATAGAAAAATAAAGAATCTTAAAAGTTTTCATAGTTTTTGAAGACTCTGCTCGATAAGTTATCAAATTACAGTTTTTCGGGTTGAGTTGTTCTCTATCCGACAGACTAAAGCTTACGAGCTGTAAGATTCACAAATTTTCATGAATGTAAACATATTAGTCTAATAATTTCAAGGAAGTCAGACATCCTGAGATCATTTGTTTTCCATAAACAGGAACTATAGATATATCGATGCCGTTTTATCTAATAGGAGACTATCGGCTTGTGTTAATCCTTTGCATATGTTAATTACTTTGCTTCGATTTAAAGAAGTTATTACAGCTACAAAAATATTTAGCTATTCTATCATTAACTTATTGACAATACAAACTTATGTTTTCGTTCATTTTCATCAATCTCTAATCTACTTTCAATACATCAAATAATAACCAACATTTGTTTTTTCTCAAAAGAAAAAAACTATTCAAAAGACACAATCAACATTTTTCTCTCTTTTCTTCATGTGATTTTTTTAATTATGTCTTTAAAAAGTATCAAGAAAATTTTAACAAAGATTTAATGTCTATAGTTTTCTCTTTTTTTCTTTTTATTAAGACATATTACCATATGACGATGATGTCGATGTATTGATTCACGTTAAGTATTATTCACGCTTATCAAAAATTAACAAATTATCTAATAATACGGATTGGAAATTTTACCTCAAGTCACCTAAAAATATGAAATTTTATTTTCGTGCATCTCCATCGGCTGGAATTTATAAATGGAAATGGCCATTTATTGGTATTGTTTTTTATACAGATAATAGTACACATATTAAATCACATATCTACATTAGAAAAGACATAATATTTCCATTAGTGTTACGTCCAATCGCTGGCCTTTGGTTACCTGGACCGCGTAGTGTTCAGAAATTGTTCGAAGAAATATCAAAATATTATTATTCCAATTTTTCGATCGATAAAAAATGTTACTTACAACCATATTCGCATCGAGAAGAGAGAAGAAAATATACACGGAAAACTGTTCTTTGTAAGAAACTACATAATGCTTATCCGTATATTCGACGAACTTGTGAAGGAGAATACTGTCATGAACATTATATGTTAAATAACGAAACAACATTGTACGTTCTGAAAATGATTAAAGATTAATAAAAAAAAATGGCTCTCTCAATCCAAAAGACGGCGGGTGGTTTGTTCAAAAATCAGCCCTAAATGAAAATTTCTTCAGAAATCAATTTTATTTTAAAACAAAGCTTCTTCATTCACCGCGTAACTACTCTCGAATCACATGAAGGGTGTGGGTGCGTGAGGGTGTGGGGTGGGTGTCGGTGTGGTGTGGGTGTGGAGTGGGTGTGTGAGGGTGTGGGTATGGGTATCTATATTTCATTCACACCCACACCCACACTCAAATATATTTTGGTTTTTAATACAATGTCTTAGTTAATGAAAAAATAAATCGAGAGAAGAAATTCTTTTTTGTCCAAAGGAAATTAATTCTTTTTTATTCTTTCAAAAAAAAGTAAATCAGATGAAAAAAACCATACTGAAGAATTTTAAAAGCGGACGTGAAAAAAACATCGGGTGGATCGATAAAGATTATCAAAAAATTTAGTTCAATATTGTATTGAAGAACTTGGAACATCTCTCCTTTTGAGATATTGCGCTACATCGCACGAAAAGTGTCGGCAGTCATGTATTCTCGCTTGATAATATCCAAAGCCCATTACAAACGTCTGGATATGATTTTTCAGGAGTTTCACTCTCGTATAACGTTTTTGAACAATATCGTTATTTGGTTTCTATTGATCAAGTTTGATTTCTACAATTAGATCATACTCACCGTTTCTCTGTTGTCGACCTATCAAATGTACCTTAAAGACGGGACCGAAGTCCGTCTCAAATACAACAAAGCCGTGTTCAAATAGCCCACCATGATGGTAAAATCGAATAATTACCATATTGTCGTCCAACTTAGAAGCAAACTCATAGCCACTTATTCTTTTACTATTGAGTTGAGCATTTAATGAACAGGCAGACCCAACAGACTCTACAAGACACTCGATATTGTCAATTGTATTTCCTGTCGCATGCCAAATGCTCTCTGATGGCGTTCGTTCAACCGTCATTGAATACGGTACATTGTAAACATTTTCTGCATCATAGTCATCATCAGTGTCACTGAAGCTTCCTAGCCACGACCTCATAAATAATGTTTTGATAGCTTTCACCAAGATGAAAGACTTCTCGTGTGTAAACAAAGAGTTGAAGAAAACCGACGCTTCTAGAACAGTCAGTCACAAAACAATGAAGAAAAAGTAAATCATTGACACAGTAAAAGAACCATAAGAGATTTAGCATTTTTTATTGGAAATATCTACAAGGTATATTGGAAAGACGAGTAAGAAAAAAAGAATACTTTATATGAATCACATCAATGAAATATTGTTTAACTTAGAAAGAAAAAAAACGTAAGATTCTATGTTCTCATGTTGCATGATGCATGTGAAAGATAATAGTGTAAGTATTTATGTGGACGTGAGAGAATGCAGACATGAATGTGGATATCTTTGATTTAAATGTAGTTCACGAGAAGATTAACAGCGACAATTGCACCAAGACCCACTCCATCTACGCCCAAAACCACATTCGTACACACCATTGCTAACATCCACACCCGCATCTTGAAGTTGACTTCTGTTCAGGCAGTACACAATAAAAACCTTTGGCTTCCCTGTTTTGATCGAGCAGGATCCGCACGATCGAATTCAATTCTGAAGAAAGAATGTGTAATAAAAGCCATGAGAACCACAAAGTTTAGGAAAAGTCCAACTAATTAGCTGCACATTTATCTGACATCAAGTACTTATTTTTTGAATGACAGTACTGTTCAACTTCTGCCCTTTCAAATAATGAAAACAGCAGCTTGAAGGAGTGAGTATGTGGCTGTGTACGGATGTCAGTGTGAACGTCAATATAGCTTTGGTCCTTGGTGTGGATATCTAGCTCGGTGTGGATGTGAGTGAGGGTGGAGTGTGAATGTGAATGTGATGAAGAGAACAATATCTACACCTACATCCATGCAGTGTGAAACCAGTCGATAAATATAGATTTTCGAGATTCGAACTGGTATCGTAGCTAGTATTGAGGCTACTAAAGTTCCACATGAAAGTGTATTTTGGGTGTGGGTGTGTGTGGCTGTAGGGTGTGTGGGTGTGGCTGTGGGTGGGTGTGAGTGTGGGTGTGAGGTGTGAGTGTGGGTGTGAGTGTGGGTGTGGGTGT